GGCTTAATCATGCATGTTATCATCAATAATATTCCATTTCTAGTTTCATATATATGTATATATATGTTTTTTACCCCATGTTTGACCCTCTGCCCTTTCCCACTCTCTTATTACACTATCTCTGCTATATACAGTTATCTTCAATTCCTTTTCCCTCAACATTTTGTTGATTACACAATATCTTAAGTAATCTAACTACTTTCAATAGCAAGTTCAGCTGGTAATTTCAAGAAAAGCAGTTTTTAACTGGAAGGATAATTCCTTGAAACTTAAAGCCTAGAAACAGGTTAGTATTCTGTTCAAATAGTAGGTACATGAACCTACTGACAGCTCAAGACAGGACAAAAATCCTTAAAATCAGACAACAGAGCTTAGAAGAAAAGCAGCAATATTTTAGTCAAGTCACAGAATGCTGTTTCATCAGTTCAGTCTCATGTACTTAATCTTTCTTCTGTTGTGGTTCGATCTTCCAGATTGAATTCTGGGATATAATGTTCAACTCCAGACTTTGTCCCTACATTAGTTAAGATTCAATGTGCTAATATTTATAAAGTGCTTTCAAGATGATTAGGATATTATAAGTGCCCAGTACTGTTAGTCACTATTACTATTTATATTGACACTATCTTATACTTTTTCTGGCACAATACATATAACCCATAGTGTATAAATGAGCTAGAAAATTTTAAACCTTTTGTGAAACTTTATAATTGTTAAAAAAACAGAAATAATCTATATGAGATAACCTATGACCTCTTCTAAAACCATAATGTTTATTGAGATAAGTTGAAAAAATTCATAATGGAGCTTAGTGAGATAAGTTGAGAGAATTCAAATTAATTTTGGAGTGAGAAAGATACACACTTAAACACCTACCACTCCTGGGGTCGATAAACGGTGTAGAAGTTATGTCGCTAGACTCTAGTTTCTCATCTGCTGCCACAACTGAACTGACTCTCTGTTCAGTAACTAGATGGTGAGATTTTATTATCCTGTCCTCAGTCACTTTGAAAAGCAAAAAACCCAAATCACAAAGAATATGTAGGGTGAATGAAAATATATAAGAGTTCTTCAAAAAGTTCAGATATGCATGAATTTTCATTTGTTTTGCAACATAACAACTTGATCTTTAACTTCATTTTTCTATGAACTTTTTGAAGATACCTCTAAAATACACATATTTTTAGCTTTATTCTTTTTTATTTTTTTGAAAGGTGATTGTCTTAGGATGCATTATCTCACTGGACAGAGAGAGACAGAGAAAGAGGGAAAGTAAGAAATCACCCCCTGGAAGGATGGGCTTTCCTTAATCCCTTCTCCTCCATTCCTCTCCTGGAGTCTTGACACGCATGCACACATGCCTGCTGTGAGTTTCAAACCGCTGGTCTGGCAATTGAATGGTGGCTGGCCATGTGGAAGTCCAGTGACATAATTACTACATCATATGCTGCCCATTGAGTCTTATTCTTTTGTATCTGTTGTGGAGTTTCACCCCACACAGGCTCAGCTTAGTCTTCTAAGAATACAACAACTGACTCAGCTTACACAGGACTCTGTGAAGACTGATGTTTTTCATTGTCTACATAGCCCTTCCTTTATAGCCTACTGTTTCACAGATTGAAGCCTCTTCACCTGCCCTGACCTCTGATCTCTGAGAGAATTATGATGACATGCTTGTTCTTCCTACCTACAACATATCCCAAAACTCAACACCAGCAGAATTCTTTAGTTATCCAGTGTTCATCTAAGTTGTTTCCCTTCTCTAAGAAACCTCAGTTATGGGAACCAGCAGTTAGCATAATGGCTATGTCGCTGGACTCCCACATAGTCGACTGAGGTTTGTATCCTGGACCCAGTGGCTTAAAACTCATGCTGGGCGCGTGTGCGTGCGTGCCCAAGATCCCGAGAGGAGAATGGAGGAGAAGGGATTGCGGCGTGGCCATCCTCCCTGGGGGGTGATTTCTCGCTTTCTGTCTGTGTGTCTCTCTCTGTCTCTCTGTCTGTCTGGCGAGCGCACGTGCTCGGTCGTTCTGGCGAGCGCACGGCCCCTATAGTAAAAAAAACCTCTCAAAAAAAAAAAAAAAGATAGAAACCTCAGTCATATGTTGTCTAATATTGAAAACAGCTGTTCCACACATTTTGCTCTGACCATGTAAAGAGAGTCCAGTGACACTTATGGCCAAATATTTTAAACATTATGTTTTCTTTTAAGAAATAAGATTTTTTTGGGAATCAGCAGTTAGCGTAATGGCTATGTCGCTGGATTCCCACGTAGCCGACCGCGGTTCATGTCCCGGACCCGGTGGCTTAAAACTCACGCCGGGCGCGTGTGCGTGCGTGCCCAAGATCCCAAGAGGAGAATGGAGGAGAAGAGATTGCGGCGTGACCATCCCCCCTGGGGGGTGATTTCTCGCTTTCTGCCTCTATGTCTCTCTCTGTCTGTCTGGCGAGCACACGCGCCCTACAGTGAAAATCTCTCCCCCCCCAAAAAAAAAAAAAAAAAGAAATAAGATTTTTTTTTAATGGTTACAAATTGTGGTTATCATTTGCATCTCCCTTATTATAAGAGATGTTGAGCATTTCTTTTTTTGTATGCTTTCTGGCTACTTGTATGCCATCCTTAGAGTGTTATCTGTTCAGTTCATTTATCCATTTTTAATTGGGTTGAGAATTTTTTTTTCAGATATTCTGATTGAGTTTCCTCTATATCCTGGTTATCAGTCCCTTACCTGAGGCACAATTTGTAAATATGCTCTCCCATTTCAAAGATTGCTGATTTATTCTAATTATTGTCTCTTTTGTTGTGCAGAATCTTTTAAAATCAAAACCAGATGAGATACCACTTAATCCCAGTCGGAATGGCTAAAATTAAAAAATGAATGTAAGATAAGTGTTAGCAAGGCTGTGGTAAAAAGGCAACTCTCCTACACTGTTGGTGGGAATGGAAATTAGCACAGTCACTGTGGAGAACAATATAAAGGTTACTCAAAAACATATAAATAGAACCACTATATTACCCAGCAATTCCATTTCTAGGTGTCTACCCAAGCAACAGGAAAATGCTCAGTCAGAAAAACACTTGACATCCATGTTTATTGTAGCCTTTTTCACAATTGCTAAGACATGGAATCAACCCAAATGTCTATGAACTGTTGAATGGATTGAAAAAGGGTGGAACATAAACACTATGGAATACTACCCAGTCATTAAAAAATGAGTCTTTGCATTTGATAGAAAATAGGCAAATATGGAAGTTTTACTGCCAAGAGTAGCAAGCCAGACTATGAAAGAGAGGCACTGTATGTCCCCAATCAATATATAACAAATATCAGCACTGGATGGCAGAAGCTGAGTGATTGGAACTTACAAAAGCATGGAGAGAAATGATGATACTGGAGGCAGTATGGGAGAAGGGTGAGAAATGGGAGAGAGTGATGAAGAGGGAATCATGAAAAAGAAGAAAAAAGCAAAACATCTAAGAGACCCAAAATGGAAAGAAATCTATTGATTATAATTTATATGGCAATGTCTTTGACTCAACCAATATGTAGTGTATTCAGAATGGGAAAATTCATTTGGTATGGTGTAATGATACACAGTGACCGCAAAAAATAAATATATAATTTTTAAAATTACTGGGACCAGCAGGTGGTATGGTGGTTAAGGTGCTGGACACTCCCACATGGCCAACCAGGGTTCAAGTCCTGAATCTGGTGGCTCTCTTTCTCACTTTCTCTCTCTCTCACTCCCAACCTCTGTCTCTCTCTGGTCAAATTAAGAAATAAATGAATGAATAAATAAAAATAAAAAAATTATTTAAAAAATTAGTTACTGGTTATAGTAGTGATAAATTAATGTGCTTTTCTTACTTATAGAACACTCAGTCTTGAGAAGGAGATAGAAAATAAGGTAAGTTAATTCATAATTATACAGAAATAATTGTACTTTTGATCATCGGTATGAAGAAAATGAAAATGTTGGAAATAAAGAATAATGGCAGTAGAGGAAGAATTTTGAATAGAGTAATGGAGGAAGGCTTCTCAGGAAATTATACTTAATCTGGTCATAGGTTAAGACTTAGGACCAAAAGTTAAAGAGAAACAGAGGGAGGTTAGCAGATGGCCTAGAGGTTACATTGCTAGACTCCCACACTGTAAGCCACAGTTTGAGTTGCAGACACATTGGCTTGAAACTCATGCCACTGGATGCATATGTGTGCGGGCCCAAGATGTTAGGAGGAGAAGGAATGGCCATCCCCCTTGGGGAGTGATTTCTCACTTTGCCTCTCACTCTTTCTCTCTCTCTCTCTCTGATTCTCTCTCACCCTGGTGAGCACACATTCCCTAAGGCAAAAACTTCTACCAAAAAAAAAAAGAGAGAGAGAGAGTGAGAGAGAGAGAGAGAGAGAGAGAATCAGAAGAACAGCCTTAATAGAAGGAAGGGGACTCATTTTCAGAGAGATAGATGAACCGACATGGAAGTGAGAAAAGACTTTCATTGCTCTGGGACAAATGGAAAAAAACCACAATGGGACTGATGCATGTGAAGATAAGGGACTCAATAAATGTTTGGTGTGGCTGGCAGATGATATGGTGGTTAAGGAAGTGGACTTCTTGACTGACCAAAGTTCAAGTCCAAGACCTAGTGACTGACTTGTGTTCTCTCTCTCTCTCTGGTGAACACATGTGCCCTATAACAAATTAAAAATAATAATAATCAATACAATTAAATAATTATTTTTTTAAAAAAGTGTTGAGAGAAATGGAAGCATTGGCAAGATGAAAAGGAATTTCTAAGACAAATCAAAAAGTTCTAAGAGATTAAGAAACCAAGGAAGTTTGAACTAAGGAAGGGTAACCGTGTGAAAGTATCATAATCTTCACATTATAGCTACTCAGATCATAAAGCAGATTAATATTTTTGAAGGACCCATTGACTGCCGGTGGAGAATGGACTTTATAATTTCTAACACATTTCTGAAAAAAACAACTTCGGATGGAAAATAAATCATATTATTAGGAAGACTGTTACATGCCAACCACAATCTTTTGTTTCAGCCATAGTTTTTTCATGGCATTTTTCACCTCTGCATTCCTCAAAGTGTAGATCAAGGGATTTAACATGGGTGGAACAATTGTACCAGACACAGCCATAGCCTTGTCTATGGGGTAGGTAGCCACAGGCCTCACATACAAGAAAATACATGGCACAAAAAACAACATGACCACTGTGAGGTGGGAGCCACAGGTGGAGAGGGCTTTGTATTGCCCTTCAGAGCTGTAAGATTTCAAGGAACAAAAGATAACTATATATGAAGCAATTAGGATAAGGAAGATAGCTATACACATCACCCCACTGTTGAGGATGACTAAGAGACCCAGGGTGTGGGTGTCCATGCAGGCAAGTTTCAACAATGGAAACAAATCACATATAAAGTGATCAATGACATTGGGGCCACAGAAAGGTATTTGGTACATGAAGAGAAGCTGTACTGTGGCATGCAGGGATCCCCCCACCCAAGCCCCTCCCACCATCAGGCAGCACACCCGAGGGCTCATGATG